CTAAGAGAAGACTCAATGAACTTCGTCAAGAGATGCGAAAAATGTCAAAGGCACGCGAATATCCTTCATTCTCCAGCTGTTCCCATGTCCTCGGTCTTCACCCCTTGGCCATTTGCAATATGGGGCATGGACATTTTGGGACCTTTTCCACAGGCCACTGGGCAAAGGAAGTTCCTGATCGTGGGCATTGACTATTTTACAAAATGGGTCGAAGCAGAACCTTTGGCCCATATCACTGAGAAGCAGATCCAAGGTTTCACGTGGAAGTCCATTGTATGCCATTTTGGAGTCCCAAAAGCACTTATCACTGACAATGGAAAGCAGTTTGATAACCAACATTTCCGAGAGTTTTGCAAAGGTTTGTCTATAGACCTCAGGACAACCTCGGTAACATACCCTCAGTCCAACAGCCAGGCAGAGGTCACAAACAAGACTATCTTGCAAGCCTTAAAAACAAGACTTGATGAGGCTAAGGGTTTGTGGGCTGATATTCTTCCAGAAGTGCTGTGGGCTTATCATACGACTCCTCGGACGGCCATAGGTGAAAGCCCATTTAGCATGACGTTCGGATCTGAGACGGTCATACCCGTAGAGATTGGAATCCCAAGTCCCAGGGTTGAAACCTTTGAAGTGGAGAAAAATGCAGAAGGTCTGAGGTGTAACCTTGATCTGATCGAGGAGCACAGAGATCGAGCAAGGATTAGGATGGCTGGATATCAGCAGAGGGTGGCCAAGTATTACAACAGTCGCGTTCGATCACGCTACTATCGACCAGGAGAGCTTGTCCTCAGGAAAGCTCAGTTCAACTACCAAGAAAGGCATAATATCTCCAAACTGGGATGGCCCTTACCGTGTCCGAGCAGCGGTGAAAGAAGGCACTTATAAGTTGGAGGACTTAGACGGAAAGCCTATACCAAGGTCCTGGAATGCAGAACTTTTGCGCAAGTACTATCAGTAGTCATTTTTATGTTAAGTTATTTCCCCTATTTCTAGCGTAGGACTTGCAAGTTGAGACTTCATACTCAGACTATTTCAATAAAAGTTGCATTTTGTTTTGATTGCCGACATTGTT